TTATTAACATTCGACACAATACAACTATTCTAAGTTTTCATTCACAAGTCACATCCATCTAGCATAACAAATTGAAACAATACATAATTCAGATTTACAACATCAGGAAAATAGCTTAATCCACTAAGTTGCCTTGATAGCCAATCAAAAAGATCCTTGCGCCCTTCCGTGCCAAGCTTCGCATCCATCAAAGCAGTAGTGATGTCAGGCACCTAATAAAGAAACATAATTGGAAAATTTATTAGAGAAGCATGATAAATATATAAAATTATTTACAAAATCTGACAGTATACCCTGCAAGAAACAACTACCCAATATTAAAGTCAAATTTAAAGGACATAGAATACAAAGTTAGAAGGAAATTTAGGTTTAGAGCAAACAACCTTGCTAGACTTCTCAACTGCAAGTCCCATTGCAGATGCAACAGCACCAATAGTAGAGAGAGTTGCCATTCCTGATCTAGAATGCATATCAACGTCAGGGCGAGCAAAACTACTTGATCCTCTACGGGCTGTAGCTTCAGCTGAGTGAGAAGCATCATTACCTCCTGAAAGACAAGGCATGAACCCAAATGTTCAATTCACAGCACATCCTATTTGGTTTGCTCAATCAAACAATGTCACAATACTCCAATTTGAAAAGAAATAAAAATACTTCAGCTTTCTTCAAACAGAAAGTTAATGCAATTTCAACAAATCACATAATTTCTGCTGATTAAAAATGTTGATTCCAATTCTAAACTAACTTTTGTAATTGCATGCTCTATAAAGAATAATAGAACAATATCATATCAATGGGGCATCTAAATGCCCTTTCAAATTTATTTATTTTTAATTCACTAAACATGTTACAAACACAAAAACACAAACGAGATAAATCACAGAGTTTTCAACAATCTTCCACAGACATAGTCACTTGTTAAGTTGTTCATTTTCCAGGAAACATAGGACTTAGACATCAAATTCCTTAATAGAACTTGTAGGTAAAATTACCAAGGCACTAAAACTGCACAACCAACTTACCTTGATACTGAGCCAATAGAGCAACCTCCTCCAGATACAATAATTTGGCAAGTTTTTACGAAGGCTCAAAACATTAAGACTAACTAGACAAAATATAGTGTTGGTCAGGCTGTGAATATTAAAGGTTTAGTCATTTCATTGACTGCTTATTATAATTGTTCACAATTTTGACACTATAGCAGGATTCTTTGAAAAACTGAGTTGCTGACCTAAAAACAGGTACGCACTTTCAATGGAAGCAATCACAACTTAAGTATCAAGGACATAGAGCACACAATTTGGTTCATATTTACCTCGAGTAATCTTTATAAGTAAACCATCACTAAACACTCATAGTTTCAGAATTGACCATAACAGCTGTCACATTATTGTCTCCACAACTACTAAACAATAACTACTAAAGCAATAGAATAAAGGTACAAAACTCTAAAACTTAAAATACCATATTTCACACTCACTAAACTACAATAAGAATAGAAATCAATCATTTAACTACATAAGCGGAATGCATCATAGAAACATTTAACTAAGGCAAAAGCAAAATTTTGGATATCAAGAAACCACGATGTAAATACAGCACAGTGAAACCAATCAAATCAAGGTTCAAGACTCCAAAAATCAAAGCACTAGGTTTCACACTGGCTAAACTACAATAAGAATAGAAATCAATCATTTAACTACATAAACAGAATGCATCATAGAAACATTTAACTAAGGCAAAAGCAAAATTTTGGATATCAAGAAACCACGATGTAAATACAGCACAGTGAAACCAATCAAATCAAGGTTCAAGACTCCAAAAATCAAAGCACTAGGTTTCACACTGGCTAAACTACAATAAGAATAGAAATCAATCATTTAACTACATAAACAGAATGCATCATAGAAACATTTAACTAAGGCAAAAGCAAAATTTTGGATATCAAGAAACCACGATGTAAATACAGCACAGTGAAACCAATCAAATCAAGGTTCAAGACTCCAAAAATCAAAGCACTAGGTTTCACACTGGCTAAACTACAATAAGAATAGAAATCAATCATTTAACTACATAAACAGAATGCATCATAGAAACATTTAACTAAGGCAAAAGCAAAATTTTGGATATCAAGAAACCACGATGTAAATACAGCACAGTGAAACCAATCAAATCAAGGTTCAAGACTCCAAAAATCAAAGCACTAGGTTTCACACTGGCTAAACTACAATAAGAATAGAAATCAATCATTTAACTACATAAACAGAATGCATCATAGAAACATTTAACTAAGGCAAAAGCAAAATTTTGGATATCAAGAAACCACGATGTAAATACAGCACAGTGAAACCAATCAAATCAAGGTTCAAGACTCCAAAAATCAAAGCACTAGGTTTCACACTGGCTAAACTACAATAAGAATAGAAATCAATCATTTAACTACATAAACAGAATGCATCATAGAAACATTTAACTAAGGCAAAAGCTGTGAAATTGTAGCCAAATCAACCTTTTGGATTTCCACGTTTCCAACAAAGCAGTGGAGAAGGCAAGAAGCAAGATACCTCTGGCCAGATTTGGGGCTTCCAGAAATCAGCATGCTGAATCCTAACTTCTTTGCTGATGCATAAGATATATTCTGCAACAAACTAGGTCGAGTACCTATTTGCTAATCTTTTGGATATTTGCTATCTGCTTGAAACTTGCTATAATGACCTGGTAAATTAAAAAAGAAATTAACATAAGTATTACATGGATCTTATAGATACCACAATCTAAAAACAGTAACACAAGCAGAACATTCACTTCACTGTCATTTGTAGAGTAAATGACAAGGTTGCGCATAACAAAAATTTTTATATTGATCATGTCAGCTAAACGGTTGTGTAAGTGAAGCCCCATACATTCTTGGAGATAAAACAATTGCTAAAAATGAAGGTTTTTTGGATTTTTTGAAGAAATTTTTAAGAACCTCTTTAACTGTAGCTAGAATGAAGTTTGGTGGGACTTTAAGAACTACTAAGAACTGAGATTACCTTTAGGATCAACAGGAGTTATAGAAGAACAAAATACAAGGCTATTTTAGCAATTCCAATTATAGAGATGAAAGTAAGGCTTACTTGAACTGGCCCAGCTGCAATTAGAGATCCTGCAACAGCACCACCAAAAAATTAAGAGTGATATTGTTAACATTCCACATCTAGCTTCTCACACTCCCCTTGTGAAAGGCTAAAAGACAAAAATTGGAGTGTGAGAAGTTTAAAGTAGAGTGACTATCAATTCTCAAAAATTATCCTCAGGCCATACGGACAAATCTATATTCTCTCAAGCAATCCTAGACAGTTGCACATATCTTATAAATAATGAACTTACTACATCTAGTTGCTCTAGATTATGTGCAACATAGCTAAGTATGTGATGATGTCCAAAAAAATGTCTACAGACTTGATAGACAGCATGACAGACAACAGAAAGCCAAAGGGGACATAATAGACTTTTTTTTCATTGTGAAGTCTGCAGGAAGAGGCAGATCAAATTAGTTGTTACTGATCATAAGAAAAAATCAAATTAAACACAACCCAACACAGCACTTCTTAACCATTTAGGATTTTCTATGGATAGTGAACTAAATAGAAAAATAGTTCTTAACAAGAACATCCAGTGTTGTGAATGACCCACAAGTTTCTCCATAATCTACACCATAAAATTTCATAATGAGATGAACGAAAAAAAAAAAAAAAAAACAAAAAAAAAAAAAGGAATTTGGAGGTCATAGGTACCTACCTCAGAAGGAACCTTCTTTAAACATGGAAACAAATTCTTTCATAGGATGAGTGCTCATCCAACTGCACAAGAAAAATTAAACAACACTAGACTGGTAAAAGACCGGCGCATTCCTCCAACATGTGAATAACAGCAGATTATGACGATGATATCAATCTTTCTTTCTCCTAGATCGACCACAGGAACACTCTTCATTCTATACTTAGTAGCAAAAGCATGGCCAAAAAGGAGTTAGATTTTAGACGCCATTAATTTAAAAAGATTGTTATTCGTAATATATGAAACTAAACATAGACAGAAGCATCTTCCCTATTACACCCATGTCCATCATTTAAAAGAAGCAATTCATTTATTTATAGTGTATCTTTAATATCTATATGTTTAGATATATTTTTATGTATCAAAAATTAAAACAGAATCTTTACGGTTTGCAACCCAAATCAATTCACAATTCAAGAAATCAAAGCACTAGGTTTCACACTGGCTAAACTACAATAAGAATAGAAATCAATCATTTAACTACATAAGCAGAACACACTGTTGAATGATCAATTTGATTAGTAAGGCAAAATTTTACTGTCATGACTCAAGCTTTAATACAAAACAGTCAATGGAACTGGAGCTTTGATACATAACACTCATCATAAGGGCATCCATCCATCCTTGCAAGAACAGCCTCTTTCCTTTCTCCAAAGTGCCTAGAATTATGTTACAGGGACACCTCAAAATGCATAATCAAACTTTGTTGAACACAACATGACACTGATACTATCTTAATATGTTCATTTTCCTGACATATTGAGACTTTGAGATGAATGAGGTACTCATATTAAGTGCCTGTAAGCTAAGAACACAAGTTTTACCCTAGGGTATAGGAGAACAAAAGTTGGAAACTCTTGGATTTGTAGAGGAAAAAGAAAAAGGGAAGGGAAAAGTGAATGAAATAGAAGCAAAATTTTTCCACAAATTTCTTCCCTTTCCTTTTCCCTTCACAAATCCAAGATCCAAACACAACATTAGTGTTATGTATCCTTGTGTCCAAAGGTTTATAAATTTGATGGATCCTTCACCAAGAGACCCCATTTCTGTCGAGTTCCATTAAACATACACCTATATCAACTAGAAAGATAGGAACCATGTAAGATGCACAAAGTGTGTCATGTAACAATGGATGTATTGATTTGTAAATGAAACTGAATAAAAATTCAAGTTATTCAGAATCATGCATCTAGAAGACAAGATGAAGAAAGGAAACATACTTAATATTCGAGTTACTCCTTGAGTTACATCTCCGTGTCCCTCTTGTGAAATTGTAGCCAAATCAACCTTTTGGATTTCCACGTTTCCAACAAAGCAGTGGAGAAGGCAAGAAGCAAGATACCTCTGGCCAGATCTGGGGCTTCCAGAAATCAGCATGCTGAATCCTAACTTCTTTGCTGATGCATAAGATATATTCTGCAACAAACTAGGTCGAGTACCTATTTGCTAATCTTTTGGATATTTGCTATCTGCTTGAAACTTGCTATAATGACCTGGTAAATCAAAAAAGAAATTAACATAAGTATTACATGGATCTTATAGATACCACAATCTAAAGAATTTCAAAAACCAAAAAATAGAGCATCCAACATTAAAATACTAACATTAAACAAACAAATATATATAATATGAACATCCAAGTTTCAAAAACAACAATTATCGAAGTAGGAAAAAAGAAAAAGCAAGACAATAAAGTGAAGAGGATGAAAAGCTTTGCCCTGGTCTGGTAAAAGAAGCAGAAGCAGAGAGAGACAAAGGAAGAGAGACAGAGAGAGAGAGAAAAGAAGAAGCAACAGCTGGGTGGGGGCAAGAGGAAGAGAGAGCAGATCTTTTGTTATGAAAATCATATCCACCACACTTCATCCAAACACTCGAACCAAATCAAGGAAACACGAAATTCAACAAACCCACCAATGAAAATAATCAAAAAAAACCACTAAAGCGGCACAACCACACATAGGCGCTAATAAATAAAAGACAAAACAAATTAAAAAGACAAAAATTGTGGAACTAACAAATTCTAGAAAACCACAAGACCTTAAAGGCGAACTTATATTTGTAAAAAAAAAAAGAAGGTAAAATATCAATGCATCCCCTCAACATGAAATTGGAGTCTTATCCTTAGATTCAGCTGTCACTTTGGGAATATCATTATGTAAGCTTTAAACCAAAATTATAAATATTTAATTAATTGATGAGAGTTCATGAATTTTAGGGTTTGAAGCCATGCATGCATTCAAACAATAATCCTGTGCTATAATAAGAATTCATATGATTTTGAGATCTACAACAAAGGTTCAAGTGAAAGAATTAGCATAATAATTACCAGGAGAAAAGTAACTTTTTCCTTAACTAGAAGAAGAAAAATGAAGAATGATGAAGTTTGGGAATACTAAGTTTATGATACCCTTTTCTTCTTGTCTCAAAACAATGATCAATTTCAATTGGTATATATAGTGAAGATAGCTATAGAATATCGTATTTAAGAAGCCTAATCATAAGAGGACATAGGCAAACGACCTTGAAGTATGAGCATTATACAAGCAACAGCTGCAACTATCATCAGATTTTAATCTTATATATATAATATTAATCATTTATGGTTGTGTTTTTTTGTCCTAGATTTTGTTTCTTAGGTACAAAACAAAGCAAGTTGAATTGGTTGGATGCATAGATGCAAATCTGTATTAGGAACATGCTGCATTTTAATTATTTTTAATAACAAATGAAAATCTTGGGACCAAACCATAACCCACAGATGATTGGGACCAAACCAGTTCAACTTTCAACAATCAAGGTGAAGCAAGGCAGCAAATTGCAAGGTCAAACCCAAGGAAAAGACTCAACACAAGCAACATCCAACTCAAGAGCAACACAGCAACAGTAGTTTGTTTCAAAAAAAAAAAAAAAAAAAAAAATTTAAGTGCTTTTAGTGATTTGAAAATTAAATTATGAAAAACATACTTACAGAGCAAGTTGTGTGATTATCTGTTTTATCTCTCAACAATGCTCTTTACCTGGTTTTCACCCATGAGACATTTAGATATTTAATACAGAGCAAGTTGTGAGAACAAAGAAAAAAACATACTTACAGAGCAAGTTGTGAAGATACTAAAAAAAAAATATATATCAAAACACATCAATGTAATCCGACTAGATGAAGCAACTAGAGGCCCTTAAAGCACATCAAGAAAAAAAATATATTTTACATTCAAAACACTAAAAAAGATGAAGATACTAAAAAATTATACTCACCTCTCAATGTAATCCGACTAGATGAAGCAATATCAGAGCAATGTAAAATATTTTCGAAACAAGTATCTCTTGCATTATATTTTGGCACAATAGTATAATGAACTCCATCTAAGCATTAAGAGGGAAAGATAGAACTCTAGCTTTTAGAGGAAAAGAGAGAGAAAAGTTTTAGGGAGAATAACAAATGGGCTGCCCTGAAGCAAGGCATAGCAATATCAAAACATAAGATAAAGCATACATTTGAATAAGTCAGTACTTGCTTTTTAAGCTTTGATCTCAAATTGTTCCAATTCTGGGTATAAATACATTTTCCCCCACCAAGAATAAATTCCAAGATGCCTAAAAGGAATGACATAAATCATAAGTAGATTGAAAGATTATCAAAACAAAGTAAAGAACCAAAATCCTTTTTTTTTCTCCAAACCAACACTAACAATATAATCATAAGATTGGGCCTGATGAGAGAATCTGAATTACAATATATATATATATATACATGTCAAAAAAAAACTGATCTTATCACATGAAATCAATGATACATGGCACCCAAAAAATAAAAAAATCAATGATATAGATACAGACACACAAAAGTCATTAATTAAACAAAAAAACAAAACTAACTATGTGAACTATGAGGAATGTCCATCTATGAGTATATTGGTTTTCATCAAATAAGGAAAACAAACTAAGCTCATATAAACACCTTGTTTCCTTTATATAAATTATAATTAATAGAAGCAAAATATACCATGCAACACAGCACAAACCTGAAAATCGAGAATTATGGGATTCCCCAATCTGGTATTTTGGAATAACTCATAGTACTACCCCTTTCCATTTGTTTGCATTCCTGTATAAATAAAAGACAATATAATCAACATAATCACCCTTCAAGAAAAATAATCTCCAATTCATTAACTCTTAACAGAGAAAGTAAGCCACAACTTTATCTTGTAGTTCGCCTCATAAGGTGATGTTCTGATAATTCTTGTAATTTGTAGCTTTCCCTTGTTACATCAGACTTTTCCCAAAGAATGCCCTAAAATTCAAATAGACTAAAAATTCTCAATTTAGAGTATAGAAAAACAAGTAGTTCTTGTATGATGTTCCAATCTAAAATGAACAAACCAGTAGTTGAGTAGTCCCCAAGCTGCAACAATACAATTGAGCTTAATTAATATTACCTGAATGCATAGAAAACTGGTGTAAAACTCACAACAAACACCACTATCAGATCAAGATGCAAGAAAAGAAATGCAAGTATAAGTCCAAACAATGCTTGAAGAAACCCCACCTAAGACGCAATGTATCCCATCTCCTTCTAGTTAAATGTATTAAACCAGCCAAAATGAGTAATTCACTGTTATGTATCCAAAAAAAATTTAAAATTACTCACATCATTGCACTTTTTTTTTCTCTCTACATATTCTACTAATTGCTCTTTTTATTAGGCAATGGCATTGTCAAATGAGAAAAAAGAACAAACCAAATGAAATAAATACTTATATTCTGTTCCATTTTGATTGCGATCAGAAAAATGATACAAAGAAGCAATATAGAAATTCAACATCACAAAAGTCACTAAAAAAATGAAAAAATTAGTTTGATATTATTGGCGATTAATTGATATTACCTTATGAAGATCCATTGGGCCCAATGGCCTTCAATCATCATTATCTAATTACACCTAGAACAAAAAAAAAAAAAAACTAAAATCAAAATTTACAAATAATTTTTTTTACAAGATTTAATACCTAATTTTTTTATTAAATAATGAAATCCCATTTTCTGATTTCCTGCATTTCTTATTCTACAAAACTAAAAGTGCCATTTTTCTTCAATCTCAATTAGCCATAAGCAATTTCCATTAGTCTATTGCTTTTGGAAAATTAGACACAGCTCAATGGTTCAAGCCATCTCAAAACCCAAGAAGGTCATAAGGAGAAAATAAAAACTATTGAAACTTGAAAGTGCAAGCCAATCATGTGGTTGGATGTCTCATGCAACATGATGCAAGACTTTATTGCTAAGAATAGGTTAGATAAGGGTTCCATTTCTCATCGATACATGGACACAAACAAAAATTGAAAAACCTAAACTTTACACAGTCCCAAATATACCAACAGTCAAAAATTTACAGAGAAGTGGCCATTTAAAACCTAAATTTAAAAATCACAACTCCTCAACCCAGAAACTCTCCAGATTAAATCTTCACCCCATATACCCAACAAATCATTCACAAAATGCCAACATAATGATAAACCCCATAGAAAAAATGAGGCACACAAGTGTCCCATTCAAAAACTACTAATCATCCCAAAGCATCAAGAAATCTCAAACTCAAACAAGTATCAGAAAATAAAAATGCTCCGAAAGATCTAAGAACCATAGCCCTAATGTGAAACCTCAGAAAACTCATATCATTCATTTCAACAAAGAATCCCAAAAATGAACATCAAAACATTAAGCAGAGAGTGCACCTTCACTTCACAAAAACACCAAAACATCTAATTAATCAAAGTCGGAATACAAACCTTCGAATTCAAAGAAAACATTGGGTGGAGAATGCAATATCAAGAGAGATTGAAACCCTTCTCCTGCGGTTTTGCTCATTCGAACCCTCTCTCTTCTCCATCTCTTCTCGGTTTTGCTCCCTTCATCTCTTCAGTCGAGAAAGTTATTGGAGATTGAATCTTTGAGATCCATAAAGGAAAAAGGAAAAAAAGTAATGTAAGCAAAGCAAAGGTTTGATGATGAAGAATTAGGGATGTATAGGAATCAAAAAATTGGAGATTAATTGAAAGGAATAATAAAGAATGAAGACGAGAAGGCCAGCGATGAAGCGGCTGAGATTGGAAGAGCAACGCAGATTGTCAAACCTCATAATAAGAAAGTCGATTCGATTTCGATCTTATGCCGAATCGGTGATGTGCGATCTTCAACAATAATAATCAATCTACTCCGGAGAACAATCAATGAGCTTCGCGTCAATTGCATATATAGATCGAACCCCCTCCTCTTTCTTTCTCCTTCGTTTCGCTCTTTTCTCTCCAAAATAAACTGAGAACCAGAGATCCATGTGTAAAGGGGTTTTTGTTTTGTTTTGTTTTGTTTTTTTTTTTTTTTTCCATATTATGGTGTTTGGCGCTCAAAATTTTGGGGTGCCTTTATTTACGCACCACATTTGTCTCAAGGCACACCATTACTTAGTTTACACCTTTAATGATTTGAAAAATATACAACTTGTTTGGTTCTGGTTTTTAGCAAATTGTACTTTTTTATTTTTCGTATTTTAATATTTTCAATGAATTTTTTTAATGTTTAGCAATTTTTTTTTTTAATTTTTAGACACACCTAACATAAATACACTTAAAAAGTATAATATTTGTGAAAAATATTTTTAAAAATTAAAATACACAAAAATACGAAAATTGTACTAAATTTTCATTTTTTTTTTGTATTTTTTGGTATTTAGTGTATTTTTTAAAGATTTTTTTCATAAATAATATACTTTTTAAATGTATTTATGTTAGGTGTATTTAAAAATTAAAAAAAAAAATTGTTTAAAACATTAAAAATATTCATTAAAAACATTAAAATACGGAAAATAAAAAAATAAAATTTTCTGAAAAATTGTTTTCTAAAAATCAAAACCAAACAAGCTGTATGTTTTTTCAAATTATTAAAGGTATGAATTGAGTAGTGGTGTGCCTTGAGACCAAATGTGATGTGTAAATAGAATCACCCAAATTTTGGCGACCAAAAGACAATATTAGTCGCAGAAAATATACCTTCACCGACAAATTTTTTTAGTCGCCAAATCTTAATCAACGGCGACTAAAATATTAGTCGCTAAAAGTACTAATTTGGCGACTAATTTTTTTTGGTTGCTGAAAATAAGTTTTTGGCGACCAAATTTTTGGTCCCCAAAAAATATGTGACCTTCCGCGACCAAATTTGTAGTTGGTCGGCAAAAGCATACCACTTTTTGCGACCAACTCATTTTTTGGTCGCCAAAATATAACCTTCTGCGACCAATAATATTTGGTCGCCAAAAATAATGATCATTCGCGACTAATTAATATTTGGTCGCCAAATATCATTTTTTTGCAACTAAAATTTTTTTGGTCGGCAAAAGTGGTCGGCAATTATGTAAATTCTTGTAGTGTTTATGTGTATATTCATAAACTTGAAAGAGTTAGTTTGTTTGGTTTCACTTTTCAAAATTTATCTTTCAGAAATTTTTTATTTATTTTTTATTTTTTGTGTTTTTTTTTTTATTTTTTGTTTTCATTGAATTTTTAAAAATATTTTAAGTAATTTATTTTTAAATTTATAGATACACTTATTATAAATACAATTTAAAAGTATAATATTTGTGATTTTTTTTTTTAAAAATTCATTAAATACCAAAAATATAAAAATTTAATATATTTATTCTTATGTATTTATTGATTTAAAAAAAATTGAAACTAAACACAATAAATATATTTTTGAGTTAAATTAAACTAAAACGAGTAAAATATAGGGCCAATTTGACAATTTACTTAAAAGTCAAATTTTAGTTTTGGGTAAATTACACTTTTCTCCCCTGAGGTTTCTGAAAAATATAGGGATCTCTCCTGTGGTTTTAATAATTACAGAAAATCTCCCCTACTTTAACTGACAATATCCAGATTCCCCCAATCCATCAATTTTGCACAAACGACGTTATTTTCTAAACAAAATGACCATATTATCCTTTTATTTGAGCGTGAAAAGATGAAAATACCCTTTGATTCCTCTCTTCAGTATTCAACTTTTTTTTTTTTTTGTGCTCTCTCATCTCATCAAATTGAAACGCGCGCGCGAGAGAGAGAGAGAGACAGAGAGAGAAGACCCATCAATGGGCAATGGAGGTAGCAGAAGAGTCGAAGCTGCAGTGCTGGTGTAATGGCGGTAGATTGGTTGTTGAGATGGGGCGATGGAGGGAATGGTAGGCTGCTACGACACAATAGATAAAGAGAGATGGTGCAATAGCGATGGTAAAGGCAAAGTAGGACTGGACGACAACAATGAAATTGAAAGAGTTGGGTTCCTTAATTGCAAGTATTTCCAGACACCACTGTGTTCAAAATCCAAGGGCATCAACCCCCCTCTCTCTCTCTCTATATATAGATGTGTGTGTGTATTTGCCTCTTCTTTTTTTTTTTTTGTTGCTAATTTAGTATAAGAAAGTTGAAAATTTTGCTTTAGATCATTGGGGTGTAGATTCCAAATTGCTATTTTAGTATAAGAAAGTTGAAAATTTTGCTTTAGATCATTGGGATGTAGATTCCAAACATCATTGGATTCAAAATCCAAAGGCACCAATCCTCTCTCTCTCTATATATACATATTTTTGTGTATTTGTATCTTTTTTTGCTAATTTAGTGCAAAAAAGTTGAAAATTTTGCTTTAGATCATTTGGGTGTAGACTCCAAACACCATTGGGTTCAAAATCCAAAGGCACCCATCCTCTCTCTCTCTCTCTCTATATATATTTTGTGTATTTGAGTCTTTTTTTTTTGTGGCTAATTTAGTGTAAGAAAGTTTAAATTTTTGCTTTAGATTAGTTAGTGTAGATGTAGAATGTACTCTGTAATGTTTAATTTTTTATTTGTATATATATATATATTTGTGTATATGGGTTGTTGGGAAAATTTTTAAAGAGAAAACAATGAGTTATTGGAAATCCAAACAAGTTCCTATTCTTTGCTGGAAATCCAAACAAGTTCCTATTCTTTGTTGGGTTTTAATTCTTTGCTAAAAATCCAAACAAGTATATATGTATATATATAAACATACATATGTTAAACAAATTGTTCCGATGTTTATATATTTGTATGCATATATATATATATATATATCTGTTAGAAGAAAAAAAAATTTCTTCCCATGTTTGAATGTGTGTACATATATTCATATATCTATCTGTTAAACAAATTTAGAAATTAATTTAATTTTCTTTGCTAGAAATCAAAATATGTTCGCATGTGTTTATATACTTGTATCTGTTTATATATATGAGATTTGAAAAATCAATTGAACTGGGTATTGCTTGTTTGAATTTGAGTATTGATTTTTCTCAACAAGACATTTGAGGGCATTATGAACATTTCAACGTATATCTTTGATGACATCAGCAATTTCTGTTAGTTTTGTAAACGACAGTCCAAAAATGGGAGAATCTTGATATTGTCAATGAAAGTAGGAGAGGTTTCTGTAATTATTAAAATCACATGGGAGGTTCCTGTATTTGTTAGAAATCTCAGGAGAGGTAAGTGTAATTTACCCTTTAGTTTTTAATCTATTTTAAGTCATATCACTTATCTACTTATTTATACTCCCTCCGTCCCAAAATATTGGTCCCTTTTAGGAAATTCAACTTTTTTTGATGGTATAATTATTAAATTTCAAAATTTTTAAATTTCCAAAAATACCCTTTGATTTAAAATTAAGGTCAAAGGAGTACTAATAGTGTATGAGAAAATTTGTCCAAAAATTTTGGCGGCAATTTGACATGAATCAAACCGATTAAGCGGGTATCTAAATAAAATTTGAAAGTTTCCTTTTCAATTTAAAATTCCATGAATAGAAACTCTTCTTCACACAAAGTCAAACTCTTCTGTTTTACTCCTATACCAAATCTGCTCATTTTCTTTCCGATATCTCATCAACTCTTCCAGCTTATTGTCTCATGTTTTCATCTTTAAATGTTGATCCATTTTAATCCATCATGGATTCTATAATTGAGACTTTCTTTGTTGTTTGTTCCCCTGTTCCTCTTTCTTGTGTTCATCATAGAACAAAAAAAAATCTGACAAATCATCTACGCCAATCAATTTTTGAAACTCTGCTAATACGAAGTAAGGATGGAAAATTGAAAAGGGGTTGTCAAACTGAGGTTGTTGCGAAGTTCTCTGTCCATGTAAAAACTGTTCGTCGTATTTGGTAGAGAGAAATAGCTTGTATGGAAAATGGGTTAATGGTCAATGTATCTAGCAAATTAACAAATTCTGGCCGCAAGCAAGTTCAACTAAACTTTGGGAAAGTCCCTAAAATTCCTCTTCATCATCGAACCAATATCCGCTCATTCTCAAAGGCATTGAATTTTTCAAAATCAACAGTTTATAGGAGAATTAAAGAAGGCAAAATTAGGCTGCATTCAAACCCGTTGAAGCCGTATCTATCTAAGGACAATAAGCAACAAGACTCCGATGTTGTCTTTCAATGCTTGAGCCTAATAGTCTTCAAGGCCAGCCAATGTTCAAATCCATGTACGACTATGTGCACATTGATGAGAAGTGGTTTTGCATCTCCATAAAAGCAGAGAGGTATTACCTTCTTCCTGAAGAAGAACCACAACATTGCTGTAAAAGTAAATGTTTGTTGGTGAATTTTGTCACTTAACTAAAAGCTTCTTTGATGGTGTTGCTGAAGAAATCATTTGTGAGTTTTGCAATGCTAAATGTAAATGGCAGTGGTGAGAATTGGAACTCCATGTATCAGTCCTTCTTTTTGTTGTTTTTGCTCCCTTTTGATGTATATATTCCTTTTGAAATATAATGAAATACAGCAGTATAGTAATA